GCAGTGCCTATGTTATTTACTTTTTTTTAAAATACCATTATTTTCACTGTAAAAAGAAATTACCTAAACTATCGGCGTATTCAAGCTTGATTCCTGCCGCCCGGTCAGTTTCGCTTCGGCCTTTGAAGGGGGAGGTTGTGTCGCTTACGATCAGAATACACATTACGCAACAGGACGACGTAAAATTAAAATGGGAAATAACCGTAATAAAAATGAGAAGCGACTGGGTTGGCGTTAAGAAACAGGCATAAATATGATAAACCTAATGAATCAGTATCCAACGACCTATCTACTTAGAGTATTAGTGATTACAAACATGTGGTACATAGCATACGACTCGCGGGGAAGTGGGGGCGATATTAGAGTTTGAGCTGACTTACTATATCCCCTTAAGATGTGGTGGACTTCAAATCCTCGCAAAAACATCAATTGTTACTGTTGCATGCCATAATTAATGCCTGGTACATGGTGAGTTCCCAGTTGCGCCATCTAGTATAGCAGAATTAGGAGAGTTTTCTAGAAAATTCCATGCTAGAACTTTCTACACCTATCATTCGGAGCCGGTATGCACTCGAACATTCTAGATGTTTCAGTAGACAGAGGCAATATAAGCGAATACTTCGAAGCGATATAACTGCGAATTATGTTTTATTATTAGTGCATTTTAAGTTGTAATTGGTGTTCGGTAATTAAAGTGGCCGTGTAGTGGCGGTTAAGAATATCCACTACCCCATATCTTCCCGTGGGTGTCGTAAAAGCCGACAGAGGGAAATAGGCAGGAGATGGGCAGCAGCATCTTCCCGATAACAACAACTGTACGACAAAAAAACTGCGGTTGCCAACCCGCTCGCCAAGCGTGGCAACTATGGCAAAATACCCCCATGAAAAATTACACAAATAGACGGCCCCCAGACACTGGCGGCCCCGCTATTCCTGGCTACGGTGGCGACCATGGTAACGGCGGGGCAGGGGGTGCTAAGAATCTCCGGTGGAGGTTCGGTTGCCACCTACGACGAATCGACCTGGCAACATTTAACGCACGCACCCTGAGGACTGACGAGAAGATCCTGGAGCTGGAAGAAGAGATAGACAAGTTGCGCTGGAATATTATAGGATTATCCGAGGTCCGAAGAAAGGGGGAGGACACGGTGATTCTCGAATCCGGCAACTTGTTCTATCACCGGGAGGGCGACCATCTGTCCCAAGGAGGTGTTGGATTTATCGTACACAAGTCTGTCGTTAACAACGTTGTAAAGATTGGGAGTGTGTCGACGAGGGTCGCTTACCTGATACTCAGAATCACCAAACGGTATTCGCTGAAGGTCATACAGGTTTACGCACCAACCTCGGCACAATCCGATGAGGAGGTGGAGGAAATGTAAGAGGATATTTCCAAAGCCATGCATTCCTCCAAAACCCACTACACGGTGTTGATGGGAGACTTCAACGCAAAACTAGGCTCAAGAGAAAACGGTTGAGCTGAAGTTAGGGAAATTTGGAGTAGGGCAACGGAATCGAAGGGGCAAGCAGCTGGCCGACTTTATGGAGAAAGAGGGACTCTTTATGATGAACTCTTTCTTCCAGAAGCGGCCCCACAGGCAGTGGACCTGGTCGAGCCCCGACGGTTCGACAAAAAATGAGATTGACTTCACTATGACGACCAGACGCCAACTGTTCAGTGATGTCTCAGTGATCGCAATGGTGAAAACTGGCAGCGATCACCGAATGGTTAGAGGCACACTGAACCTAAACGTTAAGTTGGAGAGGTCTCGTCTATTGAAGTCAACGCTCCGTCCCCCTCGTGCTCTAATCCAGAATCCCAAAAACTTTCGGCTCGAGTTACGTAACCGCTTTCAGTGCCTACAAGATTGCAATGCAGTGGACGTTATGAATGACAAGCTCGTGGAAACTGTCCATGCGGTCGGAGCTAAGTTCTGCAAGACCCGCAGCAGAAGAACACAAAAACTCTCCGATCACACTCTTAATCTCAAGGCTGTTAGACGAGAGATGAGGCTGCAATCGTCAACAGATTTGACAGCATACTGGCAACTGAACAGACAGATCTCCAAATGCATGCGGCGAGACTTACGCAACTTTAATACTTCTCGTATTAAAGAAGCGATCGAGCGGAACCAGGGCTCCAAAGTCTTTGACAGAGATCTGTCTGCCAGTAAGAGCCAACTGTCAAAGCTGAAGACTGAGTGTGGCAGCATCGTTTCCGGGACACCTGAGATTTTGAGTGAGATTGAGAGGTTCTATGGGCAGCTGTACACATCATCGTTAGAGCCACACGCAAGTGTGAGTAACGATCCAAGAGCAAGTCTTATCCGACACTATTCCGATGATATCCCGGATGTCAGTCTAAGCGAGATTAGAATGGCTCCCCAGCACCTTAAAAACGGCAGGGCCACAGGCGAGGATGGAATTACAGCGGAGCTTCTGAAAGCGGGTGGAACACCGGTACTTTAAGTCCTTCAGAAGCTCTTCAATTCCGTCTTCCATGGTCGCACTACTCCAGAGGCGTGGAGCAGAAGTGCGGTGGTCTTGTTCTTTAAGAAAGGCGACAACGCTCTCTTGAAGAACTACAGACCGATTTCCCTTCTGAGCCGCGTCTACGTGCTGTTTTCTAGAGTCATTACGAATCGTCTCGCACGCAGACTCGACGACCTTCCAGCCTCCCGAAGAAGCCGACTTCCGAAAAGGCTTCAGTACCATAGACCACATACATACCTTGCGGCAGATTGTACAGAAGACTGAAGAGTACAGTCTGCCACTTTGCCTGGCGTATGTGGACTATGAGAAAGCCTTTGATTCCGTCGAAATTTGGGCGGTGCTACAGTCCCTTCAGCGGTGCCAAGTTGACTGTCGGTTTATCGAAGTGCTGAAGTGTTTGTACAGTAGGGCTACGATGGCTATCCGAGTACAGAACCAGAGCTCGAAACCTATCCAACTGCAGTGTGATGTAAGACAGGGTGACTTTATATCCCCGAAACTCTTTACCGCTGCATTGGAAGACGTTTTCAAGCTACTGGACTGGAAAGGATACGGTTATTAACATCAATAGCGAGTACATCACTGACCTTCGATTTGCCGACGATATAGTCCTTATGGCAAAATCGCTGGAGGACTTAAGCACTATGCTCAATGTCCTCAATAGTGCCTCCCAACGGATAGGTCTTGGACTAGGAACATGGACAAAACAAATATTATGCTTAATGTCCATGTTACACCTATGCCGGTAGTTGTTGGGAGCACTATGCTCGAAGTTGTTGACGCGTACGTTTACCTGGGACAAATGGTCCGACTAGGCAAGTCCAACTTCGACCGAGAGGTCAATCGACGGATTCAACTCGGCTGGGGAGCGTTCGGGAAATTACGACATATCTTCTCGTCAGGTATACCTCAATCTCTAAAAACTAGATGAAGTCGTAACAACCAGTGCGTGTTGCCAGTGATGACTTACGGATGTGAGACGTGGTCCTTCATTGATGGCCGTATGAGGACGCTCAAGGTCGCTCAGCGAGCTATGGAGAGGGTTATGCTCGGAGTTTCTCTGCTTGATAGACTCAGAAATGAGGATATCCGCAGTAAAACCAGAGTGACCGACATAGCCCAATGGATTAGTAAGCTGAAGTGGCAATGGGCCGGCCATATAGCTCGAAGAACCGATAACCGATGGGGAAGAATGGTTCTCGAGTGGCAGCCTCGTACCGGTAGGCGTAGTGTAGGGCGACCCCCCACTAGATGGAGTGACGACCTGGTAAGATATGCAGGAAGTCGATGGATGCAGGTGGCTCAGGACCGTGCTTTGTGGCATTACTTGGGGGAGGCCTATGTTCAGCAGTGGACTTGTGAAGGGCTGTAATGATGATGATGAATTAAAGTGTCAATTTTGGTAATTCAATCGGCAGTTTTCACTGTCACGAATCACAAACTCGTAACACTAATAAAGATGATTCGTATTTATATTAATTAAAATTATTCAGTCTATTAAATTAAAATAATCTCAACGTTTATTTTTCTCCTAGACGAGATCTACAGTTCTTCCGTAGGCACAAACTTCGTCGGATAAATAAGACGTGGAAACAAACTTCCAAAACTTCTTGCGGATAGATTAAGTAGTTAGTTGTTAGATTAAATACATTAGTTAGTTTGAGTTGGATACGAACACATCTAAAGATCTTTTCCCTAACAAGATAGGTTATTTTATAACTTTAATTTTCAACTTTGAAATTAATTCAATGTTATATATATATATATATATATGAAATATTTGTGTTTTGTTTAAATCATTTATCTGCTTATTAATACAAACTCGAAAAAAAAAAGATAATGCGACCGACAATCAAATCCTTTCTCTTTTGACGTAGTAAAATCATGCTGCAGCTATATTATAGTTGCATGGATCACGCTCCCACAGAACACCAGCGTAAAATAGCAGTTAAATAATGATGTGTTTCGTATGATGAGTGTAGGCATTCAGAGGCTTATCTCTAGACATAAGCCTCTGATTGCCTCATTGGTCTAGTGATCTTAAACGTGGTTGCTGGTCATGGTTTGATTCCCGAGTCGGGCCAGAATCAATTATTGGGTTTTTCTGACAAGGAATTCTCAGTAGCGGCCAGAAAGAAGTAGGTGTATCTCACCCGTGCTTTGGAAAGCATGTAAACCCGTTGGCCCTGCGCCTGATCTCTCTAAGGTCGTGCCGAATAACCGTCCCATCGGAGTATGAGAGGGAATTGAGAATGTTTATGTGTTTGCGCATAAACTCGGACACTAGAATTTTATCCTAATGACATGACTATTTTCCGTTCAGACTGGCCGCCGTGACAGAAACTCGTTCTGTTATACGTTATTATTTTTATATCCAGTTGTTCAGGAACGTTCACAGATTGATAATAATGATGATGATTTAAGTTTTAATATTGTTATTATCCCATTTAAGGTCAAATTTTAATGTAATAAACTTATGTTATTTATACGTTTTTTTTCTTTTACAGCGGAATGCGCACCAACCTTAGCACCATGGAAACCATTCAGAGAATCTACTACAATTGAAACGATTCATCACAAGCACCCTGATGGTATCGGCTCTCGCGCAATCTACGACATTAACGATATTGTACACTTCGAAGATAATGACATAGTGATGAGAGATGCAAAAATCACAGACGAACAAAACAAACTCGACAATTCATTGCAACTGTTTAAGCCTTACAAAGATTTTACTGCAATCAGTAAACTAAATCTCAAAGACAGAAGTAAAAATACTGGAGTTGTTCTTGATATTGATAATGATTTAAAAATAGATGACGTTAAAATAATTAATGAAGGGAACTGCGAATGTCAACATGGCGGTGGTTGTGTTGGTGGAGTATGCTTGTGCCCGTTAGGATACGCTGGAGCAAAATGTGAAATTACATTGGATTTAAAGGTTCGTAATTTTTGCATACATAATGTTATGTAGCATTTTCTGACGGTCAACAAACTAAGACAAAAAAAGACATATCAAGTGCCACCTGGTAAGGATAGAAGTTTTAATAAATGGAAATAAAAATTAAATCATATGACAAATAATTTCGAAGATTTTGAATGATAAAACAATTAATTTTGATTTTAGCACTTTGTGTCTGTTTGTTTTTTAGTATTTAAAATCAACCAATGTTTAGTTTCCATTCCTACAAAATGTTTTGAAAACTGTCAAATCTGACCAAACTAAATTGTCCAGAGTATATTTTATTTATGTATTAATTTTTATTTATTTATTGAAACTTACAGCTATCATGATGAAGAGATTGCTATGTAGCAATAAGACCGCCTTTTGTCTTTTCCTCATTGTTTATTCATTATTTGTTATATTTATGTCTCATTGGTGTACAATAAAGAGTATTGTAATGTACAACTATCATGACAAGAATTATCTAATGCGAGAGTGTAGTTCAATTCATACATAGCAAAAATATTATATCTTAAAATATGTAACATGACCTTTATCAGCGTTACCGTCCCTCACATGTTTACAGCTGAACATATTTCTCCTCTAGGGTATACTACACAACAAGGTCCTGTACCACCTGCATCCATCGCTTCCCTGAATGCCTTACCATATGATCACTCCATCTGTTATAAGAAACTACGAATAGTAACTAAATATGACAAGTAGTACTTGCATTTAAGTTAAGTTGACGAATATTGCTAATATAATGTTTTTTTTTATTTATTTATGTACACACATCAAGATACAGAAGCAGTCTTATCGTAAGTTCGTACAAAGGTTCTACTTGTTCCATAATTTGCTGAAATATCTTTCAGCAGACCCAGAAAGGAAATTATATTTAAATGGCTAACTTAGTGCATACATTACTACTACTAATAAATAAATTATATACAAAATGTTACGAAATTATATAAAATAAAACAATAAATAAAAATAAAATAAATCAATACATAAAAATAATAAATACGATGGTTACATATGATATAAATATAAACTAATACTAATATTATAGAAGTTTTATTATTTCTCATCCAATTACTTTATAAAATTATCTTTTTAGGTACCCCGTTTCAATGGATCTTCATACCTCCGACTACCCAGTCTCGGCAACTCTGCACAATCATGGCTAGATATACAGGTAATATTTTATATTCTAACTCCTTGTAGCTTACTGATAAAATTATTAGAGAACGCGATAAGGTCTTTTTTATTTATCATTAAAGTAACAGTAACAAACGAACTAAGTCAACTGATTTTGGTGGTCTTTTTTGATTTATTGTATATGTAATAAAATGTTATATATATGAATAGGTCGGCTCGACAGGGGAAAGACTACGCTCTCATAGAATATCAGCTCAGTGCTACTGTTTTCGTATGGTGAGTGGTGAGATCCGGAGAACTTTGTATTGGAAAGGAGACATTCCATTTCAGTCCTCAGGGGTGACAACGTTTCGCATTTTGATTCTTAATCAAGGATTATTATAGACGTCTATGGACCACGGCATTCCCATACCATCAGATGGACCTGTGCTAGTTTGTCCCCTATATTCTATAAAAAAAATAATTGTGAACATTAACTCTACCAAAACCAATGTTCATTACTGTAATAATTTTGTTTGACCAGAGCCTATGTAATAAAAGTTACAATTTATTCTTACGTATTTCTGTGCAATAAAATTTAAAACGATTACGAAACTGTTAAGGTAGAAAATTTACAAAATTGTAAAAGCCTTCCCCTCGATTCTGAAATCGACATTCATCACCTTACCTAAACTCTGGTATCCCAAAAGATGCAATGATTATCGTACCATTTCGCTCACGTTTTAAAGCTGTTTTCTAAAAAATAATCCATAACAGAATTTACTCAAAATGTGAGTCCGTACCATCACATACTCAGTTTGGTTTTAGAAGCGGGCTGGAAACTAGGGACGCACTTTTTGGCTATCAAGTACTGGTACAAGGATGTTGGGACATGAATAAAGATCTGTTTGTCTGCTTTATTGACTATGAAAAGGCCATCGACCGCGTTCAACATGGCAAGTTGATTGAAATACTTCGGAGAAAATTGGCTTAGACGGTTCAACGACCGCCGATTCATAAAAAACTTATACTGGAACCAGCGTGCAAATATAAGGGTTACCTGTTTAATTTGTATGCTGAATCCAAATTTTCAGAGGCACTACTTAACAGTCCAGACGGCATATCAATAAATGGCAAACTGCTGAACAATATTAGGTACGCAGACAACACGATATTAATCGCCGATAGTCTTGCGGGTTTTCAAAGGTTAGTAGATTCCAGTGACTTCCGTTAGTATTGAATAGGTTTATTAACATCAATACCAATTGAAGACGAAGTACATGGTAATTAAGCCGAACACCTGAGCTTATGCACGTCTCTATCCCTAAATGGTACCAGGGTATTAAACGGGTCACCAAATTCAAATATCTAGGCACAATGGTTGACGAAACAGGAGATCACAGCCTCGAAATACGATGCAGAGTAGAGCAGGCACGCAACGCTTTTTCGAGAATGAAAAAAGTTTTTTGTGACCGGAACCTAAGTATTTCTCTTCGAACACGCATAGCGTGGTGCTATTTCTTTTCTGTACTTCTCTATGGTGTAGAAGCTTGGACGCTGACAGAAGCCATGTCTAAAAAACTGGAAGCGTTTGAGATGTGGGTTTACAGACGTATGCTAAGAATTTCTTGGAGAGACCGCGTACGAAACACCAATGTGCTACAAAGAATGGGGAATTTCACAGAGATACTTACAACCATAAAGAGGAGGAAATTGGAATATTTTGGGCACGTGATGCGTAACACCAAAAAATATGAACTACTTCAACTTATCATTCAGGGGGAAAGTGGCAGGCAGAAGGAAGCCTGGCCGCAGAAGGATATCGTGGCTGAAGAACTTGCGCCAGTGGTTCGGAAAGAGCACAAGATCACTATTTAGAGCAGCGGTCTCAAAAGTTGAAATCGCCCTAATGATTGCTTTCATTCCAACCTTCGCAAGGAGGCGGCACCTTAAGAAGAAAAGCCCTATTTTCCCATGGGATTAAAACTTCTAACTGCAGTCTCATCATATCATTATTGTATCCTTTATCACAGATCCACATAAATATTTAAATAGTTAGGAGACCTCAGTTACCATCCTTTAAAGCCAACAAAAGTCCACTGCTGAACATAGAGCTTCCTCATAGATTGCCTAGTGGGGAGATTTTGCCACAGTTGCCATAGTTGCCATAGTTGCCACGCTTGGCAATTGGATTGGAAACTACATTTTTTGTTATTTTGAATTGTAATCAGGAAGAGAGGCTTATGAAACCTATAGAGACCTAATATGCCCAACACAAAAAATACTTTAATAATGTCAAAGTTACACACCGGAACAAAGTTGAGAACTTCTACAAGATGTAGTTTCTCCAACTCTTTTCAAAATTTTGGACCTTAAAATACATCTCATGTAATTCATACACTTTCTTCGGAAAAGTTTTCCGCTTAATTTAATTAAACAGCGGGTTGTTACTTTCGAAGTGAAACTTTACAAAGATTTCTCCAAAGAGAAGTTGCTCCAAGGCTTAGTTAAAATTTAAGGATTAAAATAATGCCAGTCGGACGTTTTACACAAATCGATCACACAAATTACTTACCAAATAGGTCACCCACGTAGCTTTTTTGATTTTTATATGATAGGGTGACAAGGGAGCAAACAGTCCACCAGATGATAAATGGTAGCTGTGGCCCATAGACATCTACATCCATCCTCGATTACGAATCAAAATGCAGATGCGATGTCACCCGTGAGGACTAAGATGTACTCGTAATGCCTCGTTTCCAGTAAAAGGGGTCTTCGGTTCTCTACACTAACCATACGAAACACAGCAGCATCAAGCTGCTATATTACGCTGTTATTCTATGAGAGCGTGGTCCTTCCCTGGTGGAGCAAACCTATTTGTGCTACAACTGTACTACTAATATAACTGCAGCATGGCTCCACCACGTATAAGCTAATAGAAAAGGGGTACTAAGTTTGCAGTTTCTCTGTGTGATAAAAATCCGTACCAAGGATTCTTGCAGAGGAGAGTAACTGACGTAGTCTAGTGGATTTGTAGGCTGAAGTATCACAAGGCCAGTCATCCGTGAGGTACTCTGAAAAATTTGCGTAATACATAAAATTTATATTTAAACTTTATTTATTTAAATTTACGGTTTTATAAAAAAATTCTGCATTACATTTTTATCACTTGACCATTACTTCAAATCATTTTTGAAATCATAAGGACCATTGGTTTAAAGTTGCAAGCTATCACGGCCTCTTCTGGCTCCGGAGACGTGAAACCTCTAATCACTTCTTTGATATCTCCTCTCCTCTCCTCTTCTCTCCTCTCCTCTCCTCTCCTCTCCTCTCCTGTCCCTATCCACTCCCCTCTCCCTGCCCTTTATTCTTCTCTCCATCTGCTCCCCCATCTTTTCTTCTCTACTCATTTCTTACCTTTTATTTTGTTTCTTCTTTATTCACACTATCATGATCTTCGTTCTTGCTTATATTCTTATTATCCACGTAAGTCTCATACTGCATCTCGATATAATTTCATCGTAGGACCGTTACGTCGGTCACAAATAATAGCACGCAACTGTGTGTGGACGCATACAAGATTTTCATTATAATATCGATAATATCATTACGACCATCGTTAAGCTAAGCACGATTCTGTAAGATTTTTAATAATAAATACGAGTAGAAAGGACTGTCCCCCAGTAACCATGGCTGCTGTAAAGTACCCGAAACGTCAGGAATATAAAATAGGTTAATATACGCAACAAAATCCATAAAAACTAGTTTCATATAAATTAGTCTCCGACACTATTCGTAAGCTATCGTCACGGACGTATCAGGCAACTAAATAGACATTACCGATCATTATATTGTATAGTTTTATACGTGGTAGAGCCACGCTGCCGCTATATTATGGTTGTAGTGCGAATAGGTCGGCTCGACCGGGGCGGGAAAATAAAGCGTAAAATAGCAGCTTAATGCTGCTATGTTTCGTATGGTTTTAATCTTAGAAATTTTTGATGGAATCTAGGCATCTATCTTAGTCCTCAGGGGTGAGGATAAATGTAGATGTCTATGGGCCACAGCATCCACTTCTGTTCTACTAGTGCCTAAAAATCAAAAATCGAACGTTTACATATACTACATATAATGATATAAGAAGCACATTGTCAAAAAGGTTGATTGTAGAACTTATTTTTTTTAAGTCGAATAATTGCTATTTTTACATTAAAAAAGTCGCCTAATAAATTTCGGAATTTCGGTCGGGTCGGTGTCTTAAGCGGCCTTGTAGTATATTTAGTATATTACACTTCGCCTCACTACGGGTTCGGCTGCCAGATGTCATAATGGCAATTATAATAATTAATTAATTAATATGGACGCCTGCTTAGAGTTCAGACCAAAGACAACATTCCCTTTATTTAGGATTTAGATAAACATCAAAACGTTAATTTAAGTCTCAGCCAACTTTCACTAAAATGTCTAATGGTTCAAGCATTTGCCTAAATGTATATATACGCCAGAAGAAAATACTGACAACTTTTTAATCTTTAAAAAGTTGGTAGACTTCATTTTATTTATCCCTATAATAAATTTAAAAAAATATTGAGATACGAACGAATGAATACAAACAATAAATTCCCAATGTAATAGTTTGAAAACTTTATACAATGCGAATTCTATTGGGCAGCAGAGATATCTCGTTTTATTTTTCATAACAAAGAAAGATTGGTGCATTTGAAACAACTCAGGCAATTGAAAAACTCATCTATTCAAGCATCTCCGAAGTTTTTATATGATGAGTATTTCATTGTTTTCTATGTCGAAAATTGCAACGAAATTTTACTATAAATCTTTGAATATAACTTTACATAGTCATTAGCCAACTGTTTTTGTAGCTCTTCTTTTTACCAACATTTACGCGGTAAAGCCATGCTGCAGCTTTATTACGGTTGTATTCTGTTAGAGCGTGGTTCTTCGGGTCGGCTTGACCGGAGGGGACCACGCTCTCACGGTATGCAAGATGCGTGAAATAGTAGCTTAATACTGCTGTATTTCGTACGAGTGTGTCCGGTG